GATGTATACGATGTAATATAATACAATATTTGTAGATTAATATTATCATGTATTTCATGAAACTTCAGTTAATTAGGTAAACCAATAAGCATAGTTGATAATTAAAAGAAAAGAGAGGTAAGACAGACGTTAGTTTCGAACCCGAGACTCTCGGACGTTAACTCAGCAGCAAGCACGTGTGCTACCGAGTCATTGTGGTATATTATTTAGCAAACTTATATTTGTGTAGTTACCCACGTTCGATAGTTTTTTTTAAGTTTTATTTGCTTACTCTATTATTTCCAGAGCTTCATATGGATATTAAGAGTATTGACTACCTTATTACTACGGTTTATGTAATATCCTGTAAAAAAAGAAGGTGGATACAAGTCTCCCTATTTGAGTGTTCACCCGGTTTAAAATCGTGGATCTCGAGGAACACACGAATTCATTCGACCAATCAAAAACGTGGAACTAGTTCGAGAGCTCGTTCACGTGGCGCGTCGACGCGCCAAAACACAGCTCCAGATTATCACGCGTAGTATTACTATATATACACGACCAATCAAAAACGTGGAACTGCTTCGAGGGCCCTCCGTTAAGGCGGCGCGCCGAAACCAGAGAAAAATTGAGACCACCAAAAACAGGCTCATTGGCAATCTCCCTACTCATCTCTGTTATTAGGACCAGTTACTGGCACATGTCCTCCATTGGGGATACAGCCATAAGGAAAGGAAGGAAGGAAGGTTTTTTTTTGCGAAACTAAGGACCACCAAATGTTTTAATTATAATATTCGTGCCCACCAAACGATTTCCAATCTATTGATCCCCTTGAAAATTGAATTCGTTGAAAAAATAATTTGTTCGGCTAACTTCACTGGTAAACTTTGATTAATTAAGTACTCATCTCTGCATACTGTATGTCGATTAAAAAATGGCTCACCACCAAAGTTTTTAATTAATTTACCAAAATAATAAAAAACACCAAAGTTCAAAAAAGGAAAATTGCACGGCTAAGTTCACACATACCTTGCGGTGGCTTGCGTATGCTTGCACGAATGTGCTGGAATTAAAATCTCGTGAAATTTATAAACATAATTTTACTTCTGGCAAATTCACGAGAAAATATTACCAAACAGACTGGAAGAATTTCTTTGTATTCTCCACATTTTTTTTACTAACAGGAGAGTGTCATTAGGAAATAATTTTATTCTGCCAAAAAAATATTAAAGTTTACCATGGTAAGTGAAAATAACAAGTGAACCTTTATGATAACTATATTAGCAAAATTGATTTGTTTAGTAATTGTTTACATGAAGAGAAATTTGACGTTAATAGAATGGAAATACATTATTTTTGTAGTGTTGCAATTTTCTTTTGAAGTTAGCAGAACAATAAATCCTTATTACTTAATTGTATAGCTGTTAGTAGATATTTACGATTATTGTCGCATTTCTTAAATTTTTAACTATGCAGGGAAGACATATTGTCCAAAAGTCATCTTTAATTAATATATGTAATGGAACAGAAGTTGTGTTTAATATATCTTCACTCTTCTTCTTGACAACTACACACGTGTAGACTCAAAGAACTCATCAATTTTATATTTAACCCTCTTGCCAAATTTGTCTGTATGCACATTTATAATGAATTAAAAAAATCTATTAAATAATTAGTACTTGATGCTTGGTCATTAAATTTGTTCAAACTAAAAGGAGAGTGGTGTCTATATTTGAGTTTATTCTATTTGTTGTAATAGCATCACAATCTAGTTCCACAGATAAAGATCTCACAGACCTTGTCTTGTGAAGTATATTTCTAAGGTCAGACCAGTGTAGTTAAAGGTAAAAGATAATTAGGATTTATTCTTTAACTTAGTACCTCTAGTTGATATCTTGTACAGCAGTTATTAAATGTATAAGTATATAAAGCTAGGTTTAATTTATTGTTTCTATGATTTACCAAACACTATGATTTTTTTGTTAAGATATTATGACTATATTATAAATGTAATTTCTTTATACAATACAAAAAGATAGAAAAATTTACAAATAAATTTTTCTTATACCTTTCAATTTTTCTTCTTTAAAAGATTTAAGATTAAGCATATCCTGAGTTATTTTTGTCATTAATTAACATAGTTGGTCTACGAGTTCAATTTCGTTTGTTGACAGATCAAAAACAATAAAGTTTTTGGCAATCTACATGTGACTCTTCATAGAATTTTTCTTACAGTGAATTATATATTTTTTTTATATTTGCTTATATTTCTAGAATTTTGTAGAAATCCACGTGTGATTTGTTAAAGATTGCATTGTTTATGAACTCTTAAAATATATTGAACTCATGGATCAACTATAGTTATATATGTTGAGTTTGAGTAAAATATTACAACAAATTTCTCATTTATAGAACTGTTTGAAATTTAGAACTGTTTGAAATATAGCCTGTTTGAAATTTTAACTGGATTTAAGCAGGTTTTAAAACATTTATATTATTATAGTACTAGTTTTTTAATAAAAACCATACAAAATGTTACTTGCTGCAAATGCTATAAGAATTATAGATACTTTACTTACTATGAACTTTGATAAGAGCAATAATATATATGTAAAACTCTTCAGATCAGTTTTATGAGTTGTATAATTAAAAATTAAGCTTCTCAGTAGCAATAGTTTTTATAACAACCAATTTTGACCAACTGAAAGTGGTTTTTCAACTAGTATGACTAATTTGGCAAAGCTGTAATAGCATCGTAGTATTAGGGGAACCTATAAGTGATATTGCTTTTCAATAATTGGAAGACATGACATTACATGTGCATACCCCTAATACTTTGCAAACATTGTTTTATCCATGAATTTCTTATACAGGATGATGATGATCAGTACCAAGCTGGTTACGATGTTGGTTCCTTTCCAAAAGACTTTGGATATACTACATTTGATGGCGAAGGAGATGGACCTGCAGGTCTATTGGCTGGAGAACAAAAACCTAGAATACTTCTAATGGGACTTCGAAGGTTTTTTCCCTACTGAATCATGTTTGTCATATATATATATTAAGGTGTGCCGTTTCAAATCAACATTTTTTTATGTATCGAACCAGAAAACTGTTAGTTTAGGACTTCTATTCAAATTTAGTATTCTCCTTTGATTGGAAACTTGTTTCCTATTCTAAAAGTTGTTTGGGTGATAGCATTTAAAAAATGTTGATCTGAGATGATAGATCTTAATACATACATATATAATATGAAGATTTCATTAATGAAATATCTTTTAAGTTCTATTTTATAATATTTTATTTTCATTCTTTTGACACGTTCTGTGCCAAACCTGTTTTTGTTACTTTCTACGTATACGCGGCACGGAATGTGTTAAGGAATTGTATGAGGGTTCTCATTTACCATGATTATGATATTTACATAAATATCAAACAGTTTATTTTCTTATAGTCAATCCAAAGAGTTTAATGTGTTTTTTTGAAAGTTAGCAAGGAATGTAATATTAGCAAATCATGTGGTTTCCCATAAAATAACGTAAATATATGCTAAAATAGAAAAATAAAACGTATTTTGTGCAAAACCATGCAAATGCATTCTTTGTAATAAACATTTTTTGCAGTAGCTTGTGTGCCTTTCTAGTCACTTAATCGTTTTCGATCTATCAAAAAAACACATGCAATTCGTAGACTGAAAATGGAAATAAATCGATTTACTTTTTGTTCTCAGGAGTGGAAAATCATCAATACAGAAAGTTGTTTTCCATAAAATGTCCCCAAATGAAACTCTTTTCTTAGAAAGTACTAACAAAATTATTAAAGATGACATTAGTAATTCAAGTTTTGTACAATTTCAAATTTGGGATTTCCCGGGACAGATCGATTTTTTTGATCCAACATTTGACAGCGATATGATTTTTGGTGGTTGTGGAGCTTTGGTTTTTGTCATTGACGCTCAGGATGACTATATGGATGCTCTCAACAAGTTACATATGACTGTAACGAAAGCTTATAAAGTAAATCAAACTATTAAATTTGAAGTGTTTATACATAAAGTAGATGGTTTATCAGATGATTATAAGATGGAAACTCAGAGGGATATACATACAAGAGCAAATGACGACCTTGCTGATTCTGGTAAAGAATAATTAATATTTTTTGTTTTAATATTCAACAATAAATTAAATCATGAACTTTGAGGAAAGAAATCTTACAGATTTTAATATTTCATATTATCTTGTTTCAGTTTTTTTTTTTTTTAAAGTAATAACTATATTCTTGTTTCGTTATAATTGGCTTTCGGGTTTGATCCACGTCGAGTATTTTCACTTGCAGACGTTACGCTAACATTACAATTAATACGAATAATGGTCGTGAAAGTCTGAAAACTATCAATCTTACTATTGTTTTTTTTTTATTTTCCTTTGATATTGGCATCTTGTTTTGGGGTATGTCCTAGGGGTAATAACCATCTAATCCTACCGTACCTATCAATAGTTTGACAGAGTGCGCCATTATGGGTTATCAATTTGGATGTAGTTATTGGACGTAAATCCCCCCTCCCCCTTTTTTTTTGATACGCTAGGGCTTGGCGAACGAAAATGTGTATCCAAATATTAGGTTTTAATAATATTATTAAAACTGAATAGCAATTTAAATGCAACATTACTTTCAAATTTCATCTTGAAATGTTAGTGTATTGACTTTAAGAGATGTATTTTGTTCAGATAAATTATTATTAAAAGTAATGCCATTTTTGTCCCTATTTTGATCAACGTTTTGCACAGTCTGCCTAAATTTATTTATTTAATTCTTTAAAAAATGTAATATTTGACAAGCATCATAATAAATAAAAAATTACACGTAGTAAAATTTGTATAGAATATTATCTAGTAAATGGTATATCTCAAATTTGTTTAATTCTTTTAGGTTACGATCAAATACATTTAAGTTTTCATTTAACATCTATTTATGACCATAGTATATTTGAGGCATTCAGCAAAGTTGTACAGAAATTGATACCTCAGTTGCCTACACTAGAAAATCTGCTCAATATACTTATTTCAGTAAGTACTCAGTCCCACACACATTTATGCATGTATTATTATGAATGTTGTAAAAACGCAGATTTTTTTTGCCTTGCTATTTCAGAATTCAGCGATAGAAAAAGCATTTCTATTTGATGTCGTGTCGAAAATATATATAGCAACGGATAGTTCACCCGTTGACATGCAAAGTTATGAACTTTGTTGCGATATGATAGATGTCGTAATTGATGTCTCATGTATTTACGGGTAAGCGAAACATTGACTGTTTTTGCCTACCTTATATTTCTTTATAAGGTTTATCAATAAGATATTTTAATTTGTTGGCATGATCACACATGATCGTGTAAAAATATTTTATGCAACGCCCATTGCAAAAAAAGGAATAATTTATACATGGGCCGTATCATAAATTCTTAGCAAACAGCCGATTTTGTTGAAAGGACTCCGCACAGTTATTATGAGATACTAGTTTTTGACGCATTTAGCTGCTTCTATGATATTTTATTGTTCATGAATTCTTTATCACAAGTTAACATTGCTACAACTCTGAACAATGGACAGTCTATGAGTTATTAAGAGTTAAATTTGTGATGTTTTTGTACAAAGCACCCATGGAATAACACACTCTTAATATTTGCTGGATGGTACTGTCGTGCCGTGACAGGGTGTTTATATGATTGTTTGAAATAAACTTATTGAGTTTATTTCATCAATGTTTGTTTAACAATGGTTGACAATAGAACTTGGTCCTGTCATCAGTATAGGACTGAATCACTATTGAACTGATCCTAACGAATAACCCCAGTACCGGTATTTACGAGGTTGCGCGCTCTAGGTGTGTGGTAATAGACTCTGCATGTCCATATATGGACATGAATTCAATGTACGCTGGATGCTGGGTCAACTTTATGGGTCTCTCCATTTTATCATCATTGTAGAGAACTCGATATGGATATTTTCTATAACTATAGAGCGAAAGCTGTCAAGGTATAACAGTACAAAGCAAAAAATATTATATTATGAATATTTGAAATGGCTGTTCAACTTCTACACCCTGATAATATGTTAACAGTTTTGAACGTCCAAGTAGGATTCAAAGTCTCAATTACATTCTTTTCCGCTATGGATGTAGTATAAACAGATTGCTGCCCAGATGCGCATAGATTCAGTTCGACAAAAATGAATTGTAAACCAAACGAGTGGTAATGATACTAATAGTTGTTTAAACCTATTTTGAGCTATACAGTTATGAGTGCTCATTATTTTAGCATTCAAACTTACCCCAAACTAATTTGATCTTACATTATAAATAATAATAAATAATTCGTATCTAATTCTATTTCTCCGTAGACATTACAGCCATGTAATTTAGACGTTTGATTGATAATTAAACATCCAAAGGTGGGAGCATACTATTAGGGTAGAAGTTGAGCAGTCTTATTAACAGTCTCGCACCCGTGTAATATTGTGCACTCTTAATACTCATGGTTTCCGGATAGAAGCCGCGTCTGTGTTCAGCTTCGTGTCGACGTTTTGCAAACGTTTCAATCTACATCATTACCTATACATTGTTATGCCCCATGATAGGATTCACCGTATAGTTAATCTCCAGACGCAAAGTCAGCATTAGGCGAATGCTAATTCTATGAATAACGCGTTAAGATAAGAGCCATGAGACACACCCTGTGAGCCACAGCGGTCACTCGCAAAGTTCCTAGTTAAGACTGAAGTCCTGGAGCGTTTTCCATAGTCGTGAATAATTAGTATCATTGTGCCTTCTACCATTAGATTTGTGTTACCTTCGTATTTACATTATACCAACTCCAATAAACTATAATCGTTCTTTATATGATTCCAAATCGGTGCAATTATTACGCGCTAGGCCACCGCTGGCAGCGAGTGAGAGGGTTTTATGGGCGACTCGCGCTGGAAGTCAGTGAGACACTCTTATACGCAGTGCAGACTATCTCTGGGACTCCACTAACTGCGAGTGAGAGGGGCTTATGCGGACTCATGTTGAAATTCTGTGAGAGACTCTTATACGAGACGCCTGGACTCGGGACCAGGAATGGGCGCATTCGAATGAAAACGTATTTAAATACCGGGTTAAAATACAAATGATTTTTCATTCCTTATTTATTTCGATCCCAAATAACGATTGATTTTTCATTCATTATTTATTTTGATCTCAAATAAAGATTGATTTTCCATTCGTTATTTATTTCGATCTCAAATAACGATTGATTTTTCATTCATTATTTATTTCAATCCCAAATAACGATTGATTTTTCATTCCTTATTTATTTCGTGTCAAACAAAGATTGATTTTTCATTTATTATTTATTTTGATATCAAATAACGATTGATTTTCCATTAGTTATTTATTTCGTGTCAAATAAAGATTGATTTTCCATTCATTATTTATTTCGAGCTCAAATAACGATTGATTTTCCAGCAGTAATGGTGAACGGTTTGAAGGGAAATTGTCTATTGCCACTACACAACTACAGTTAACAATTTTTTAATCATCGGTCAACTTTCAATCTCACTAAAGTCTGCAAATATTTGCGAGAGTGTGCAATTGTATGCGAGTGTGTGCTAGTATGTGCGAGTGTGTGTACGTGTGTACAAGCGTGTGGCGTATACATGCGAGTGTGTATGCATGTACCAGCGATCCCGTGCTTGCAGCATTTCAAAAATTTAATAGTTTAATAGACTCTAACTGGGCAACACTACTTGATGTTGTGGGTGGTAAATTTGCCATTTTTTCGAATTCACGTTAAAGATCTCTCGCGATCATGGAAACACTACGTCTCACTACGCGAATCGTACGCAACTGGTAAAATAAAAAGCAGTATGAGCGTACAAAGCGTTCATACGAAAGGTATGACGGTATATAAGCTATTTACATTTTTTGCTGCCCCGCAAACACGGTCTACTGTGAAAGGTTTCCGAGAAAATTTCTAGTAGAGCAAAATCAGTAAGATGAGCAAACTAACGTCCAAAAAAATCAGATCATATGTGCCCAGTTGTATACGTCGTATGCAAATATATGGAGTGTAGTAAATATTACGCAAATAATGGTGATAAAAAAATACAAAAAAAGACACCGCATTTAATCACATTTATCAACCGAGCTAGTACACTGAGACGGCGTACAAAAACTTGGCGTGCCAGTTTTTTAATTTTTTTTTTTTCATTCACAAAATACGACTTCACCCGCCACCGCAATTCTACCATGTTCCAGGATTCCCAGGATAGCACGAATCAAAAAGCCTCATTATCCAGTAAATGTAGTATGCGCGACTTATAATTGTGCCGTAAAAGTATTTTTTGGGGATCTATAAATACCCGACTCGAAGTGACTCATCTGAAGTGATAAATGCTGTATTTATTAATCTAAATAAATAATGAATGAAAAATCAATCTTTATTTGACACGAAATAAATAATTAATGAAAAATCAATCGTTATTTGATACGAAATAAATAATGAATGGAAAATCAATCGTTATTTGAGATCAAAATAAATAACGAATGGAAAATCAATCTTTATTTGACACGAAATAAATAAGGAATGAAAAATCAATCGTTATTTGGGATCAAAATAAATAATGAATGAAAAATCAATCGTTATTTGAGATCAAAATAAATAACGAATGGAAAATCAATCGTTATTTGAGATCAAAATAAATAACGAATGGAAAATCAATCGTTATTTGAGATCAAAATAAATAACGAATGGAAAATCAATCGTTATTTGAGATCAAAATAAATAACGAATGGAAAATCAATCGTTATTTGAGATCAAAATAAATAACGAATGGAAAATCAATCGTTATTTGAGATCAAAATAAATAACGAATGGAAAATCAATCGTTATTTGAGATCAAAATAAATAACGAATGGAAAATCAATCGTTATTTGAGATCAAAATAAATAACGAATGGAAAATCAATCGTTATTTGAGATCAAAATAAATAACGAATGGAAAATCAATCGTTATTTGAGATCAAAATAAATAACGAATGGAAAATCAATCGTTATTTGAGATCAAAATAAATAACGAATGGAAAATCAATCGTTATTTGAGATCAAAATAAATAACGAATGGAAAATCAATCGTTATTTGAGATCAAAATAAATAACGAATGGAAAATCAATCGTTATTTGAGATCAAAATAAATAACGAATGGAAAATCAATCGTTATTTGAGATCAAAATAAATAATGAATGAAAAATCAATCTTTATTTGATACGAAATAAATAACGAATGGGAAATCAATCGTTATTTCAGTTCGACATAAATATATATATAAGCTGTTTATTTCCCTTGCGAGGTACAGCGCGGAGTCCCGCTCCGCTCACAAACGTCTATAAACTATAATTATCTACACTTATAATCTATAATTATCTTACATACAGAACACCAGACACCCATACATCGAGAGAGAGAGAGACCCACTTCATCCTTCCATACCACCATTCGTTCGTCTTACGACCTCCGTTTCCGCCGCACCAACACTACTATCCTTCCCATTCTTCCCCCCCTGCTCCTCCCGTATCCCGCTCCACCCTCTCTGCTCCTTCTCCCAATTTTTCCCCCAATTTTCCTCTCCACCTTTCTATTTCTACCATCCAACTTTCCCCTAAACCTTCATCTCCTAGCACCTCCTCCCTTGCCTTCTGCCATCCTCTTTCCCTGCCCCATGCTGTGCATACTTCCCATACGTGCTCCCAAGTTTCCTCCTGCACCCCGCACATCCTACACCTTCTTTCCTCCTCCTTCTCCCAGTACAGGTCCCTCTCATCTCCTCACCCAGCCTGAACCTCGCCACTCTGCCAACTCTCTTCCACCCCCCCTTTCTTCAAATAGCCCGGCACCCCCTTTTCTTTTATAAACTTGTACTCCTTATTTCCCTTCGCCTCTATCACCTTTTTCCACCTTTCCTCGTCCTGCCTTTTCTTTTCCAACCTAACCATCTCTTCTCCTCTCATCTCACCCGCCGCCCACTTCCTCTCCACCTCCACCGCATTCCACCCTCTTCCCTCATAAAATTTTCTCCTCTCATCTTCCCATCCTTCTCCACCCCTACCTGCCCGTGCTCTCTTCCTTATCTCCTCTCTGCATCTCCTCACCAGCTCTAATCCTCCTCCCTATTCTACCTTCTTTTCATAGCCCCATGCCCTTAACCCCGCCCTCCCTTCCAACGCATCCCTCTGCAACTCCTTTCTTACCAGATAACCT